CCACAAGCCGAAGTGTGGGGGTGCGGAGGAATGCCCCACACATGACGATGAACGCCGAGATGTGGAGGAAGGAATTCGGGGCCAGATCATGGAAATCCAGCCCGTAGTAGAACATGAGACCTCAGACGAAGGGATGAAGGGCGAACCCAAGTCCTCGGAGGAAGTGGGGGATAAATACCACCCTCTTACCGGGCTCCCGGGTGGGGATGACCTGCCCCGGGGTTGGAAGCCTGTGTTTAAACTCCGCCATCAGGTACCTCGCCTCGCGTAGATCTTTGATGTCCTTCTCCATTACAGAGGAGGCCATCCACTTGCCCTGGAAACCGGATCCGGCCATTGCTGGAGAAGTTGGGGCGAAGGGAAAGTTTAGAACTTGGGCGTTGGAGCTCGGGGACGAAAAGGCAGAGGAAGAAGAAGGCGTGAGGTGAACAGATGGGTCTTTGTGCTCTTATAGAGGCAGTGAATATCAAGCGCCCCCTCATAAGCCTTAAACCTCACCTATTCCCAAGGAGACGTGCGAACGGCATGGTTGGATTACCCAAATCCGCATTGATGAGAATCCCGTGATAAGGGGACACGATCTCTGCTTTGACAAGACGTGTCAATGACCGTGCCTCGAAACGCGAAACGGGGGCTGTAAAATAGTTCAGAATAATAACAGGCCAGAACATAACGTCTCGCCGAAAAGGTTGCCCGTGGACGTGACTTATTTTGTTTTAAGTATTGTTGCTTTTATAGCTTAGGGTTGTAAGCAGGGTCAAGAAGAATCTCAAGTTGATACTCTGCCAAGGGATTTGTCCACAACTGGTACTTCACATGCCTTAGAAGTAGATTTGAATGAGAATGATACAACCCTTATGTGCAGAAGACTGCTTTGGAGTATCCGGAGAAGGAACCCGCCTTGCAATGCCGAAGACAATCTACACGCCGGATACATCGTCATTGAAGCCCGGTTCAGGGGCTACTGAGGGAGTCCTGGACTAGGGGGTCCTCGGGCATCCGGGCTATGCGATATGGGCCGGACTGATGGACCGTGAAGATACAAGACAGAAGCCCTCCCTCGTGTCCGGATGGGACTCTCCTTTGCGTGGATGGCAAGCTTGGCGTTCGGATTTTGCATCTTCCTTTCTCTGTAAACCGACTTTGTACAACCCTAGGTCCCTCCAATGTCTATATAAACCGGAGGGTTTAGCCCGTAGGGGCAGAATAATCATACATGCTAGACATCTATGGTTTAACCATTACGATCTCGAGGTAGACCAACTCTTCTAACCCCTATACTCATCAACGTCAATCAAGCAGGAAGTAGGGTATTACCTCCATTAAGAGGGCCTGAACCTGGGTAAATATCGTGTACCCTGCCTCCTGTTACCTTTGATCCTTATACGCACAGTTCGGGACCCCCTACCTGAGATCTGCCGATTTTGACACCGACAGGAGGCAACTGAGTTGTGGTTCTTCTTTCGTTGATGTCACCTCTAGAGAGATTAGGCGGTGGAGCAGTGATGACCTCGTCTACCCAAGTGGTGTTGTCCCGACGCTGGTGGCGCGGGATCGGGGCCGCAACTCGACGTTACAAGGAGGGCCAGATTGCAATATGTATTTTCTATTCAGGGTGCTTCTTATGAAGTGTTGGACCGAGGTGTAATTTTATGATGATGTTTTATGTAACCATATCATGAAGGGCAGGCAAACAAACATTACTATCCATGTCCGTGTATGTGATGTTGAAATCGTTCATCCATCCTCACACGATCAAGTGTCCTCGCCCTCCGCTCTTGCTTCGCCACCTTGACCTTGACGCAACGCCCTCCACTATCGCCTCCTACGTTCGACCAACCAATGGTGTTGAATGGAGGAGAACGGAGCCCCCCCCCCCC